AAAAGAGCTTAAATTGTTTTGTCATCAACTTGGAAATGCACTCAAGTTTGAAGAAAGATCGGATATTATTGATGCTAAAGAGCTTTACATGGAGTTGAAATCATTCAACATATTACAAACCAGTGAATTTAGCAACCCCATAGATAATTTGAAGCATTTAAAAGAACTTGGTTGTTACCAGAATGCCTGCATTGCATATAGAATTTTGTTGACTGTTCCAGTAACGGTAGCATTGTAGAGAGAAGTTTTTTCAAATTGAAGCTGCTAAAATCTTACTTACGGTCTACAATGTCTCAAGAAAAACTTAGCGGATTGGCGGTAATAGCTATCGAGAATGAAATCTTAGAGAGCATAGACTGTGAAGATGTGATCAACCAATTTGCTCTCAAGAATGCAAGGAGAACTATAATTTTGTCATTTATTTTTTTTCTAATAATAGTGCGTTAATTATAATTTAAATATAATTAGTTTGCATACGTGAATTTGTTAGACCATTAAGGATAAGACTTTTAGGGCCTTTTTCTGGTTCGGTCCAGGCTGATGAATCCTCGGGACCAGTGGTGGAGCCAGGATCCAACACTAGTGGGTGAAAAGTAGAAGAAGATATTCGTGTCTAGCGGTTATCAGTGACCGGAGACATTCAAATAAGAATTGGTCTCAGAAGCATTTTGTCGAACACATAATATAATGTACATTAATATATATATATATATATATATATATATATATATATATATATATATATATATATATATATATATATATATATATATATATATATATATAGATAAAACTTCCATATCAATAAAAACCCATTACAATTTTCTTCATTCAATCATTATCATTAACATGTTGAAATCACATTGCTCTTTTTTCCAAAGCTAAAAAAAGAAACATAGTGTTGCTGTGCAGTTTTTCTGCCTTTGAAGTTTAACGGTTAGACACAAAACAAAAGGTAATATTGGATTAGTATGTAGTATGGGTATGGAGTATTAAAAAGCAAAGTTGGGAGTGACTGCAATTGCAGTCATTTGCTCCCACTTGGCTCCGCCCCTGCTCGGGATCGACCCAGAATTTATGTACCAACAATTTAAATAGTTCAAGTAGATGGAGTAGCTCTTGACACCTCTTGCATCTCCGTGTTCGACTCTCACTCTAGGCTATTGATCTTTTATTTTTATTGAAGTGTGTGTGTGTGTATATATGTATGTATGTATATATATATATATATATATATATATATATATATATATATATATATATATATATATATATGAATAATTGGGCCCCTTAAAATGTTGGGCCCGGTCCGATAGGCCTGCTTGGCCCTCCCTTAGGCTGGCCCTGATGTTATCCATACTGGCCCGATGAGTATCAGATGTATGTGATAGTATAGCTGCGTTGCTACATATCGCAGCAAATCCTGTATTCCATGAGCGAACGAAGCACATTATGGTTGGCTGTCACTTTGTTTGAGATGAGCTTCTGCATGGAGTTATCCGCACGAAATACGTGCCTACTACGCAGCAATTTGACGATATGCATACAAAAGCCCTAGGCAAGTCACGTTTGGAGAGCAGCTACTTTCTAAATTGGGCATTTCGTTGCTACATGCTCCAATTTGTGGGGGTGGAGTGTTAAGAATAAGAATAGGAATGTGACCATATTGTTTATTTGTTTCCTTATTGTTATTATTCTCTTTCCTTGATATATATTAAATGTAGAGATACATTAGAAGAAACACATTTCCTTCCATGACTATCATGGTCCATATTTATCCAGTGAAGTATTCAGTAAATTCTTCCGACAATACACTTTGATATTCAGAGTGGCATAACGCATTTATTTTTCGGGCATTGACATCTTACTTACTTTGGGAGTTAGGGTTTTCTCCAGATAGTCCACAATATTCAAAGTGTATTATGAATTTATGCACCATTTTTCTCTTTCTTTCGTTTGGGGCACGGAAATCTTTGCAATCAAAGAAAATTTGAAGAAAAAATTACACATTGGTTCAAACTTATTAAATTTGATATTCAACTAATTTAATTTTTCATTTATTATTACTATATGCGCCAAAATATGCATGATTATGTGTAGCCTGATCTCTATTTGCTTTGGGTACGTGGGAGACGGCAATTAATACACGTGTTTACTTTTTTTGTTGTTCTGTTTATATACGAAATAATTGTACCATGAAAATTGAAAATTAGAGAACGTTTATTAATAATGTCTATAAATTTAATTTAGTGCATGCCTAAGGAATTGAAATAATATACACACTTACTTCCTCCCTTCTATACTACTATGTAATTATCTATTATGACTATTTAGATAAACTAAAAAGTAAATAAATTTATATAGACATAAAGTATGTTGTACATAAATAATTTATCAGTAAGTTTCGTTGACACTGGATATTAATGTCAACGGATTACACTCGCTCATTTAGGCTCTTTCGGTGTTCCAAATAAAAAATTGATGATTTCTACCTCCTCTGACCCCACTCCAAACCCCCTATCCCACCACCACCCAAGCCCGACCCCTGCGCCCCCAGCCTAGACCTCCCTTTTACTCCCTTCAAATGTGTGGATTATGCAACACTAACATAATGGACTCAAAATACTATTCATGGAATTTTTAAAGTTGAAGTAATAATGTGGTTCAACTCAAGTGCCTTATGGCCCACCCAATCCAGTGTTCCTTACCTCATCCTAAATTCTATCATGTCATCAGAACAGGTTTTGCCTCACCTCGTTTGTCTAGGTGGCAGTCTACACGTTCATTCCTAACGGCCCGTTAGTTTTTAGCCCAGTTGTCCGTAGGGAGTATGTACCCAACTGCCTGTGGCCTGCGACTCGTGGTCCTTTAGGTGTTGGCGCTCAAAAAAATCAAGGCGAAGAGAGTCTATTTGCAAGTGGCCAACCAGTTAGACTCAAAATGACACGATTGTTGATAGAATTTAGGATGGGATATGGACAATTGGATTAGGCAATCAGACACTTGGGTTAAATCACATTAAAAGATTGAATCCAATCGATTAAATAAATCAACTCAAGAGCTTATATACCGATTATTTTGCTCTTGAACTTTCGATGTGGGATGACACTCTAACAATTATCTACTTGGGGGGAGTGTTAGAGTGTCATCCAATATCGAAAGTCTAAGAGTAAAAAATCGGTATATAAAAGGTATATAAACTCTTGAATTGAGTTAACTAATCAATTGAATTCAACTTTTTAATGTAATTCAACTCAAATGCCTTATGACTTAGTCCAGTGATCCTTAACTCATCCTAAATTCTTTAATGTGGCAAAACGGATACGTACTCTATATATGTCACATGCAAACTGTGAAAAATGGCCAATCCTGACAACTGTATGCAGGAAAATAGTGGAGAGATGATCGATATACATACTTGGGGCATGTACTCAAAGCTAAGGATATATAAATGGCAACACTCAAAACCTGACAAGTATACACTCATGCCATGCATGAAAATAATGGACGGAGGGGACGAGTACGTGTAAGAAAACCCAATGTATGGATATTACTTTACAGCCGGGAGTATTACTTTAATTTCCGTCCGGCTGATTTTTGTTACTAATGCTTACATACATAGTTTCAATGTTCGTATTTAAAATATAAATTTTTTCATATTTTTTTGTGTGCTTGCATGTTGGATATTTTCTTTTTTGCAAAAGGCCAACTTCTTTTATGCTACAAATGCACCAAAATTCATAAAATGATTATGGATCTTAGATCCACTAAAGAATTTCCCTTTTTTAGAGGTACTAGTACATACTCCATTTGTTTATAAAAATTCTTACTCTTTCATTTTTTTTCTCTTCCACCCATAATGTAGGTACGAGTTGGGGAAATAAAAAGATGTAGTCCTATTTAAGAATAAATGACTACGTTTTAGTCCAATTTTAGTAATTCTCTCTTATATTAATAGTAATAAATATGGTGTGGTAGTAATGAAAGGCTGTTTTCATTGATTGAATAATGGGGTGATTAGAACAATATATACTAGAATCCCACTTCTAAATAAGATAGGAGAATATTAATGGAATTCTATACAAAATGGTAACTACCAAGAATAATAACATAATATTAAATATTAAATATATACAATTTATTTAACATAGTCCCGACTACAACGGCTGAGGGGCTGGTCTCATGCCAAAGTTATCTCTGAAGTCAGTGAAGAGTAGAGATGGGAGTCCATTTGTGAAGATGTCAGCATATTGTGAGGACAAAAGAACATGAAGGACTCTGACTTGGCTGAGAACCATTTTGTCACAAACAAAGTGCATATCAACTTTAACATGCTTGGTGGATAGGTGCTGCACAGGATTGGAAGAGAGATAGGTTGCACTAACATTGTCGCAAAAAAGAGTAGCACGACAAAGGGGCTGTTGAAGCTCAAGGAGGAGGTTTCTGATCCAACTAGTCTCTGCAACAGCATTAGCCACAACATGGCATTCTGCCTCTGCAGAAAGAAGTGAAGGTCTGCCATATCGAACATTGCAAATTTTCCCTTAAGTTGTTGAGTGAGCTCCTGAATGAGGGCTGCACCAGAAGACGTAAGGACAATATCATCAAAATAAAAGAGAAGGTAGGCCATGTCTACCCCATATGAGAAAACAAAGAGGGACGTGTCGGACTTGCAACCACAAAATCCCATGGTCTTAATAAAACCAGCAAACATGTGGTACCACAAGCGGGGTGCCTGCTTAATTGAGGCCATATAAATCCTTTTTAAGTTTGCAGACATAGTGCGGCGTAGTAGGATCCTGAAACCTGGATGGCTGACTGGCATAAACTGTCTCTCTAAGAGTGCCACGGAGAAATGCATTTTTGACATCAAGCTAATGATTGGGTCATCCCCGTGATAAAGCAATAGTGAGAATGATCCGGACTGTTGCTAGTTTTACAAAAGGACTAAAAGTCTCATCATAGTCAACACCAAACCGCTGATTGTTTTATACCCCGATCCGCGTAACCCGATTCACGAAGATAAGTGGACAGAAGCGCTAGCAAATTGGTAAAGTAACATCCATTATTTCAAGGAAACATTTTAAAAATAATAATAATTCAAATGATTTAAAATGTCAACATCACAAATTGTTTCAGAGTAAGAATTGAAACAATGTTGCGGAAGCTTAAAAAGTTTAAAAGAGTACACACGTGGTCCAAGACCCGAAAATGTTTAACTTGATTTAAGGAATTAGATCATGTCCTTAATCATTTTCCATTATTTAATCCCTTTAATTCTCACCATACTCTAGAGTTGCTCTCCGTAGAGCAAAAACTCGATAAGACTTCCCTGAGTCTGGGTCCAAGCGACCTTCTGTTCAGGTTCAGAATTTGGTCTGTGGCCTTTCCCAGTCTGGGTATAAATACTCTTTTGGTTCTAGACACACAGTTTGAGTGGTCCCCGGGCGCCTGACCGGTTCTAGGACCTTTTGTATGTACATACTCAATACCTGAATCACTCACATCCAAACTCTCAAACTTAATCATTTAACCCCAAAAGTAATCTATTAAGCCTCTAACATAATATCACCCTAAATCATTTATCAACATAATAAAATTAATTATATAAATTAAAGCTATCGTACTGTACATAATTCACAATAACTAGACAAGGTACGGTCGATCGTTCCTACGACAGTCTAAAGGTACCGTGACGATGAACCGTGGAGGAGTTTGGCTGACCGTTACGTCTCAGGTTTAAGGGTTTATTTGACGTGAACAGTAATGTTGGTTGAAGCATGGGATCGTAGGGGACAACGGAGGGCTGTTGTGCTGCAACAGAGTTAAATCCTTCCTCTTGAACAGTACTGGTGGTCAATGTCGGTGGATTGTTCATACCAACATCGGTTGAATTAGAACAATGACGGTACTCTAGTAAGAAAATATTTTGATGAGCTGTGTAAATAAACGGGAAAAAGACTAAAATAAGCGTAAAACAATAAAAATATACTAAAATAGAACTTCCATATTTTATTCTCGAAATAGGAGTTAAAATGTATTCACAATATTAATCATGACCATATATATTACCAAAAAGTATTGTGAAATGTTTGTATACAGTGTAACATTACTCCAATGCGAACTCCTATTTTATTTAAATAAATACTCACCCTATCCCAAAAGAGGTGACACATTTACTATTCTGGGGCTCTAGGTCATATATAACGTCTATTTATTTTCATATTTTTATTAGTCATTTGATAAAATAATATTAATATTTATTTTGTAGAACCATAAATGTAATTTTTAAAAATATAAATTGCACTTTTTATTTGTATACCATCTTATAATGTTAGGTTCTTCAAATTGTGTAAACTCGCCAATTTGAGAGGGAGGGAATACAATAAAATGATTGTCATGGGAAGTATGGAGTATCATGTGGGATGCAAATGAGTCAGTCCAAAAAAGCACATGCAAACAACAAAACATCTGCAGGCATAGGTACAAGTGTTATTATTATGGAGTTTAGAATAATGTACCTATACACTTATTTATCTAAGAGACATTAATTTACCTAAATAGTTTTAAAACATAGTGATTTTTTTTACTATAGTATCATATATTTTTATTTCCTAATGTAGTATCATTGCTCATTGTTCACTGGTCATTATTCAAGTAAATATCTACTGTCACTAGACATTGTTCAAACTAAATATCCACAATCGCTAGACATATATTGTTCCCGGCACTAGACATTATTCAATTACTATTTAAGAAATAAAAAAATTTAAATACTACATTGAGAAATGACATATATTTTAGTACTACTTAGTGCAAATTTCACTTATCTCATTCACACCAAAATAAAGTTAATGGCTAAATACTCCCTATAATTTTTTATGAATCTATATCGCATGAGGGGGTCTTTTTTTTGTTCCACTAGATTAAATATTACTCCCGTGTATTGTTACCTTCACCCCAAAATAATCACTACAAAAAAAAAAGGGTTAGTGGGGACACGAATTGTGGCGGTAGCTAAGCCAACAAACCCGCCGGAAACACATTTGTGATGATGTCGTTGCGACGGATCCCGCCATCACAACATAGGTTGAATTTAAAGATTTTTTTGTCTTTGTGACGGCGTTTGTGACTTTTTAACATTTAATTTTTTTTCCATCAACCGTTACCTTGTGACAAGACTTGTAATCCCAAAGATGTTCAAAAAAATCATTTTCGAATTTAGATCTCTTAAAATTCACCGTCCTCTACTTTTGTGACGAAAAACGCTATCACATATGAACTCAATTAAAACAAAAAAATTGAATTTTTTATAATGTTAATACTCCTTTCTGTTAGTTCCAAGGTGTTGGTTAGTCTTTTGGCAAAACAGAAACTCACGTTTGATAGAAGTTATACTAGGTAAACCTTTATTTGTTAGAAGAGGTTTATTTTATTTTGATTTCTAGAGTTTTTACTGTTGTTGAAGTTGACACAGAAGATGTTAGAAGATGTTACAGACATTGTACGGGATCAAAGGTCTGTGTATGGAATTTTAAGTTGTGATATGCAATTTTCAAAATTATAGACCTGTTGGGATGGTAACTACATGTTGGGATTTATTTATAATATATTCAGCTAGTATTTAGAAGGTTTTAAGCTACTTGTGGTTTAAGATTAAAATTGTATTCAAGACAACTTCTACAAACATATTCTTCCTAGGATTGTCTTTGCAGAATCCTATAAAAACGTAGCAGATCCATGGGAATTCCTTAGAGCAATTGAGAGGGAAACACAGAATATACGTTTATGAAGAGTGTTTTCGTCGCATCCCGGATCTTCCCTTGCGTGAAGAAAGTTACGATCTACATGAAGAATGAGTCCTACAACGAAAAACATATCGTGACAACCAGGAGATGAACCAGAGCTAAAGGAGAGGGCTGTCAACACGTTTGTCCTTGTGATCTCCGTGGAGATGTGATAGCCAAAGCGGATCTAAACATGGTTCGAGTTAGAAATCCTATATAAGAAGTTTTGTCATAACAATTCGGAGAAGTTTGTCTCATTATGTTGTAATGTACCGGTGTAACTTGCATCTAGTAATTTTGGTAGAGGGCTATTACACAGACGTGGGCCTCGTAGAGTAAGAGATTTTTCCGAACTGCTTAAACATATTTAGTGTTTTTTTTACGCAATTTATAGTTACAACATTCTGTCCAGTAGTCGATGTAACACCCTCTGCATCATCTATTTCTGTGTGTGTGCTCGTGATGAAGAAGGTGTTATAGCACACTATCTGTCATCTATTAATGTGACACTACTTCAGTATCTTCTCTGCAGCATAGTTGATTGATTTGTTTGCATAACTTTCCATGGATGATTTTCGTTGCACCACCATGAACTTTCAATTGGTATCAGAGCAAGTTAGGCTTAATTTATTAGCTTGATCTATGGGTGGTTCGTTGCAAACAATCATGATGATCTGAAAAAGAATTAGCGTGCTTTTTGAAGCAAGATGTGGTTACAGGCAGATTTTTTTATTTTGCGTTTGTAATTGTTGTACGGAGTATGTTTTTTAAAAGAACTCGGTATTACTTTTTTTTACTATAATCAATTTGGCATATTTTGTGTGAAAAGGGGGGAGAAAAGGCCTTGTTTTTAAAAGATGCTTGAATCTTTCATGGGTTTGGTGCACGGTATATTTTGTTAAAAAAATTGCCAAAAGGGGAGATTGTTGTTGTATTAGGCATATCCAACTCATGACATGTATTTGAACAAGAAACTTGAGTCCTGTGATGAGATGGCAATCGTTGTTGGGAATGATGTTGCAAAAGAAAATTGTGCCAAATCATTTGCAAAAATTAATGTGTAGTCTCAGTATGATCATGTAATAAATCTAGAAGAGAATGATAGTGTGATAGTGAGATGGTGAAAGACAACGAAATCGGCTTATTCATGTGTTCTACCATCGGAATCAGAGAAGACCCGAAAGAGAGCTCATGAGGCCGCCCCTGATGTTCAATGGATGACTACCCCAGCTTTGTGAGCTGGTTGTGGCTCTCCAAAAATTCTCCAAATCCAAGCTTGATATTGAGCAATTATATCAAGAAGCATAAAGGTTGATGAAGGGTATGAAGAGTTCTTAGGTTTTGTATTTGATCATCTTGTCGAGAATGAAACCCAAGGTAGAGCATTTTTTGTAACAAAAAACGACAAGCCTTGAAAGATTTGACTTCAGAAGTTCATCAACTAAAACAACCCCACTTCCAATAATTTAGTGTTTGAACAACTAATCTTTGATGTTTATTTTGTTATCCACTCAAATAATTATGATTAGTTTGTACTACTATTTTTATTTCTAACAATGGAAAATGAAATGTTGTTAAAAAAAACTCCATCCTACCAAACAATGAAAAATGTGGAGGAAAATACTTTTCTTTGGAAATCTTTTTCTCCTAGAAAACCGTTTCTAGAAAAAAAGTTTCCCCTAACCAAACGGACCGTTGAATTGAAATTTTCTGAGAAAATATCAACCCCCCCCAAGAAAACCAAACACACTCTTAGATCTCCAAATAAAAATTACCTAGAACCTTTTTTCTATCTTGAACCAGTCTTCTTCTCCTTCAATTGTCTTTCATGAATCTTGACCTTCTCTAGAAATTCTGCTTTCATTAATATGCTACCTTTATTTCTACTAGGATAACTTCAACAAATGGATATATTGGGGAGAGTATTGCCAAATTTCTTACCGAGTTACCATAGCTTGGGTAATGCCATTTTCACGAAACCCTTGTCTTAACCATTCTTAAAGCACTCCGCTTCGTAAAGCATAACCGGTCTAACTACGAAACAGTAGAATTTTTTTTCACCGTTGTCGGAAACTTCTTGTCACAAAGGACTCTAAAGGCAACTTCCACTCTGCCCAAGTGACTCTAAATTCTCAACACTTATTTTCACCTATTTTATGGTTTTAATTGAGTAACATTTCGTTTCTAAAACGATTAATCTTATCTTACAAATGTTGATTTTATATTTTAGGTGATGAAAGCGGAGAAGTCAAAAAAAAGAAAGGAAAATAGAAGAATTAAAGAAGATTCACAATCAAATTCAAGACCCGGAGCGGAGCAAAACAATTGGAACAAGAATTAATTAGGAAGAAAGTTGGAGAAGAATTGAAAAAAGAAATGAAAAAGGGAAATTCAAACAAATAAGGCTGATCACTGATACAATAAACAACATCCATGTCTATCCCCTCATGTGCCAAAGACACTGAAACTAGTCCTCCTAGACACTGGGTGTGAATCAATCATAACTTTTACGACCATTGATGCAACATTTCAAGTATTCAACTTTATTCTACTCAGTCTAAAGCCTTTGGATTCTAGGGAATAATGCCACAACTTCAACTTTTCAGTAAATTCCCTATTTGTCTCGTTGATCAATACGATATCGTCAGCAAAAAACATGCATCAAACTGTTTTAATCATATCTCATATTCTTCTTCTTTTTCATATTATGGTCTGTTTTTTTATGTATATTTGAAATTTTGATTAGGATTACAGAACACATATGTTTATATTTATATTAGTATTACTAATGTATACCAATCTTGATTTCTTATGTGTTACCGCCTAAGTCACCTAGTCGTCTAGGCATCATGGCAATACACTGGCACCGCACCTCGCCTTGGCGCCCTAATAACTATGGACCCATCTAATGTGTCGAACAAAATCATGTCGTCGTTGTCCTTCACACATCTCACATGTTCTAGATCCTGCATCTTCATCACGTGCCTTAGCTAGCCAGAATAACTGTTTATCACTGGTCCGCAATTCTAGGTTAGAGGCATTCAAAAGCTGTATTCTCTGCCCTTGTAAGTTGTAACCTCTAAAATAACGTCCTTACGACAATCTTATACTCCACTCTTAAAGACCCTAACATCCTCATCACTTCAGTCCACAAACCTCTTATATGCTACCTTCTTAGCTTCTTCCTTACTTCGAACCACAACATGGTGACTTTGTTATGCACTTTGGAATCGTGATTGAGAATATTGTGGTCGGCACTTGTTAGAACATAGGTTGCATAACTCTCTAAACCCCCACTTTTAACAAACATACCAGGGTGATTAGTTTTTTATTTCTTAAATTTTAAAAAGAATCTTTAGGGCAGCCCCGAAGCACTAGTATAAAAAAGAAGCAAATCCAAAAACCAAAATTAAAACACAGAGGTAAAAGCTTATTGGTGATTTACTTACCTCCATTAGATCGTAGCAATAATGATCCTCCACCATATTTCTCATTACTTCAAGTGGGACGCAATATCTCTCTCCTTTTATTTCAGTTCAAATTCCATCCCTAGGACCTTAAATTTTTTAACATGCAATCCGTGAATAGATAATAAAAGGGAGAAACAAAATAGTTTTAGAAAAAATAGTTTTAAAATGTATTTTTAATATAAAAAAGAAATCATCCAAACTAGGAGTAAAAATAGTCATTATCCCCAAAATAGGTGTGACATGTTTTTATCCCAAAAAAAAGATTTTGCATTGTGACAATGTGGCACGGTATATTGGCATTCTACAATGTTTTTTGGTATTATAGGTTGACATTATTGGCATTGTAACTCTTATTTTGGAATAAAAACGTGAAGGTCTTATTTTGGTTCTTTCTTTATGTTTTACTCTTATTTTGGTCTTTCTCCTTCAATAAAACAACCATTTCATCAAACTTAACTGAGGATCATCCAATTTTTGACAATCTAATAAGAATAAAATTTTCGTCTCACTTTCCTTACTGAGTTGTCCTAAAACTTCTCATTTCCTTTTAAGGGAATGTTTGTGTGGTCCGTATATTTTCTCTTACTTCAAAATCATCTACTCCCTCCGCCCAAAATGAAATTTACACTCATACTCCACAAGTTTAAGAAGCATTTAAAAGTGTAAGTTGTTTGGTGAAAGGCGTGTGGATGAACGTTATTTAAAGGAGAAATTCTCGTCACATTAACTTGTCCTAAACCGGAAAATAGANTAATCAACAAAACCAAAATGGAAGGATGTATAGTCATGTAAAGAGAAAACAACAATCCTTTGCAAACAAGAACAGACATGAAAGGGTAAAGTTTTGTATCCCCATTACTGCTTTTTAAATTCAAACACAAAATTAAACTTAATGACTGGTTCATCTATTAATATCTCAAATCAGTTAAGAACACGAATTGTTTAACAAACTAACCTGAGATTGTCGCACCATTCATGAGGTAGCCTATGTTATCTCCCCTTTCATCCCAATTTCTCTTTTTCTCCGTCTTTTTCTTGTTCAAGATTTGGATGAAAGAGCTGGGGTCTGACCCATCCGAGTCCAAATTTTCTCCTGTGTAATCTCTCTCTCTCTTTTTCTTCGTAATGTATCCCATTCTGTTGTTCTTACGTGTGTTGATCATGTATTGTGGCTAAAACCCTCACTCGAGGTTAGGGACGATGTCATTGTAGTTTCCGTTAGACTTAGATTCCGAGGTCAATAAATTTACAAGCTGTTCTATTTGTTTGTTTCACTGCGTTTAATTGGGCAGAGGTTGAAGTTGTGTATGTACGTTTTGGGAGTTTTATGATAGACCTAGCGGGGAAGCACACTTCGTGCTCTAGAAAAAATGTTTAGCCGAGTTGGGTTAGAAATATACCGAACTCCTAAACGGTTCTTGTTTGTCAATGGGGTTGGCTCTAGATGTATGCAAGACGTAACGGTACTTGCATGTAGATGCTAATTACCCTCTCGTTACCTTAACCGGAACAAGAGGTACCACACTCCCCCTCCCTTCGGCCATGGAAGCCTAGGCATCGTGGCGGCCAGCTCCTCTTGCGATGGTGCATCAATGCCTTATGAAAATCCTTTATGGTTTTAGTCAGTGACTTTTTTCATACTCGGTATTTACTTTCCAATAAGAAGTCGCATATTGTGTTTTAATCATATTTCATATTCTTCTTTTTTCATATTATGGTCTGTTTATTTTTTCTATGTATATTTGAAATCTTGATTAGGATTAGAGAACACATATGTTTATATTTCTATTAGTATTACTAATTTATACCAATCTTGATTTCTTATGTGTTGCCGCCTAAGTCGCCTAATTATTGCCTAGGCAGTCGTCTAGGCATCATGGCAATACACTGGCACCGCGCCTCGCCTTGGCGGCTTAATAACTATGGACACATCCAATGTGTCAAACAAAATCATGTCATCGTTGTCCTTCACTGCATCTTTATCACGTGCCTTAGCTAGCCAGAATAACTTTTTATTACTGGTCTGTTGTTCTAAGTTAGAGGCATTCAAAAGCTGCATTCTTTGCCCTTGTAAGTTCTAACCTCTAACTTAACGTCCTTACGGCAATCTTATACTCCACTCTTAAAGACCCTAACATACTCATCACTTCAGTCCACCAACCTCTTATATGCTACCTTCTTAGCTTATTCCTTACTTCGAACCACAACACGGTGACTTTGTTATGCAATTTGGAATCATGATTGAGAATATTGTGGTCGGCACTTGTTAGAGCATAGGTTGCATAACTCTCTAAACCCCCACTTTTAACAAACATACCAGGGTGATTGGTTTTTTATTTCTTAATTTTATAAAGAATCTTTAGGGCAGCCCCGAAGCACTAGTATAAAAGAGTAGCAAATCCAAAAACCAAAATTAAAACACAGAGGTAAAAGCTTATTGGTGATTTACTTACCTCCATTAGATCGTAGCAATAATGATCATCCACCATATTTCTCATTACTTCAAGTGGGACGCAATATCTCTCTCCTTTTATTTCAGTTCAAATTCCATCCCTAGGACCTTAAATTTTTTAACATGCAGCCTGTGAATAGATGATAAAAGGAAGAAACATAATAGTTTTAGAAAAAATAGTTTTAAAATGTATTTTTAATATAAAAAAGAAGTCACCCAAAATAGAAGTAAAAATAGTCATTATCCCCAAAATAGGTGTGACATGTTTTTATCACAAAAATAGGACTTTGCATTGTGACAATGTGGCACGGTATATTGGCATTCTACAATGTTTTTTGGTATTATATGTTGACATTATTGGCATTGTAACTCTTATTTTGGAATAAAAACGTGAAGGTCTTATTTTGGTTCTTTCTTTATGTTTTACTCTTATTTTGGTCTTTCTCCTTCAATAAAACAACCATTTCATCAAACTTAACTGAGGATCATCCAATTTTCGTCTCACTTTCCTTACTAAGTTGTCCTAAAACTTCTCATTTCCTTTTAAGGGAATGTTTGTGTGGTCCGTATATTTTCTCTTACTTCAAAATCATCTACTCCCTCCGCCCAAAATGAAATTTACACTCATACTCCACAAGTTTAAGAAGCATTTAAAAGTGTAAGTTGTTTGGTGAAAGGCGTGTGGATGAACGTTATTTAAAGGAGAAATTCTCGTCACATTAACTTGTCCTAAACCGGAAAATAGAAAAGTGTAAACTTCATTTTGTGAGAGAGGGAGTACAATCACACAATTCCCATTTTCTTAAAAATAGTGTCAACTCAACATGGGAAGAAAATTTTAGGATGGGGGAGAAAAAGTTCGGTATCCATAAGTTAGCTTCATTTTCAGCATTGGCTGATCAACACTTTCCTCGAGCTTTATCAGTTACCTTTACAGTTTACCCTATACACTTCTATAATGTAGAAGTTTTAAAGAAAACAAAGCTATTCAAAAAGGGCTAGCGGCAAAGCTTATTGCACGTTTG